CGTGTAACTTACACGATATTCTTTTATATAGATGTATGTAGTGAAATCACTAGGTATCCAAGTTTATGAGAACAAGTACTCTCATTTTTTTAAGCTATCATAAAGATGAACGCTTTCCTCTTGTAGTTAGGTACGGAGAGTGGAGAGATTAAGCCATAGTTATCATGTTAGGCATTTGACTTAAAAATATTTACACAGTAATTTAACCAAAAACGGAAGTTCTGTACATAATATGTATGTCACACCTAGGTATAGTCTTTATCATACTGCAAGTATGATTCAACCAACCGATAATAATTTTCTCTACTACCTACTTCAATAAAAGGTTAATATTGTATGTTTTTTTGTGTTTTTTTCTCGGCAATCTGGTTAATTTCAAAATTAAGAAAAAACGCGGGTTACTCACGTGCATATACTGAGAAAAGCTCTACTAGTTTCGAACCACAGAGGGGTTCTTCAAAGAATATTTTTTCTCATTAAGCTTCTCATGCATGAGTGTGCAGGTTCAAAACCTACCAACGACAAGTACCAATGTGACGTGTTCCGAGTCATGTGTGGGTACTTTCTAAAATTATCTAGACATCTCTGACAAATGGTAAAGGAAAACATCGTGAGGAAATCTGAGCTTATAATTTCTAATTTTAAGTTTGAAATCGCCAACCTGCATTGAGCAAGCGTGAGCAATTCTTCGTGTGAGAAGAGACCTTTGGTCAGCAGTAGCCACTTATAGGCTGTTATTGATAGACCGTACGTAAACACAAATATCCTATTCCATCGGGACCAAATCATAACCGAATGGGTCAGGAGCCTACAGTATAATACAATTTTATATGGGCGCGTGAATAATATACATTGTTTTTTATTTTTATGTTTGTTACTAATAAAAGCTAAGAAAAATACAGATAAGGAATTACATTTAGTTAGGAGAATTACAAGCAAACCCCTGAACCTATAAGATTCTCCCACCACGATATTTTTTGTAATTTTTTTATTTCAGTTACCTTTTCTACATTTGCCGCATATTTTTTTTTATAGCACAAGCCGGTAAACTAGCAGTCAGATCACCTGATGGTAAGCAATCGGCGAGGCCCATGAACACTCGAAACAACAAGACGTTACAATAGCGTTACCGGCCTTTTGGAAATTGGGTATTTGAGGATTGTGGAGGATTCGGGGATTCGGTAGACGGAGACTAGGGATGGGGGTAATTGGGCCTCCGATAACCTCACTCATACGACGAAACACAACGCAAGCGTTGTTTCACGTCGGTTTTTTGTGAGGCCGTGGTATCACTCCGGTCGAGCCGGCCCATTCGTGCCGAAGCATGGCTCTCCCACACTTACATATTATTATTATTATAATTTATTTAATCGATTCTGGGTTATAGCTCTATATATTTTGGACATTCTCCTTTGATGAATGAATGTGCAAACAAGTGACCTAAAATTTTATTAGATGATTCTACCAATATTTGCGAAGAAACCCACAGGCAAAACCTAGCGCAACAGCAGTAAAATATAGTGTAACAGCTATAGAAGTAACCAATGACATTTCGACACACATTTGCACACACAAGCAATACAAAACCAATTTATCTTAGTCTGCCTTCGTATAACTTTTCCGTGGTTTCAACGGCCAGCTTATACTGGGTATGTATAGTTAGACGTGTACCTCTGTACACAAAGAAAGCCGACGCCACCGTGAGATCGGGATGCAATAAAACTTATCAGCCACTACAAATACAAGGTTATCTTGATCCAAAGGATTACCCAACGGCTATATAACCCACTAACTTATCCTTGAAACCCTTCAGTTTGCTATTTGACATAATCACTCCTATCAAAATGTCTTTCCTAGGCAAGGAATACAAATATGAGAGGCAGGAGAACTTTGAGGAATTCGTGAAGGCTTTAGGTAAGTTTAATCTCCTATTGTTTAAAATGTGAATGTTAGTATGTTTGTTTGTTTGTTTGTTAGTCCTTAGCGTCAAAACCGCTGAAGGGATTTAGATGAAATTTGAAACAAAGGTAGTTTATGGTCTAGCTAAAGTAACACGTAGGCTTCTTTTTATCCTAAATTGACGCGGGCGACGCCGCTGGCAGAAGCTAGTTGTTTATAAAAGTGGAAGAAGCAAAATTAAAATGGGTGTGGTTTTGTAGAAATGTGTCATTTGATATTAGATCTGAGTGATAAAATTTGTATTTTGTGATGGTGTCTGCCAAAATTATACTGCATTGTGGGAGGCTGAAATTTTTCATACTTAGTATTATTCTTGGGGAACACCAGAACCAGACAAACTAGGATTATTTGAAATAATAGATAACAAAATATAATAATCGACTGCCTCGTTGGCTGAGTGGTCGCAAGTGCGACTACCGGGTAAGGTGTCTCCGGTTCGATTCCCAGGTCGGGCAAAGTATTACTAGGTTTTTATAAATTCTCAGCAGTAGTAGTCTGGAATTGTGCCCGGTTTATGGCCATAGGCTCACCTCCTATTACATGGGACTCACTCATAGTCATAACATAAATAGTGAAAAGTGGTTGTTACATTCTACAGTGGCATAATGTACACCTCTGCCTACCCCTTCGGAGATAAAAGGCGTGATGTTATGATGTTAAAAAAAATGAGTGTTACTATTTAATATACTCCTCAATCCTTTGTGGGTTTAACGTGTAACCTGTAAAGTATTCGAGCAGTCGAGGACAAACAGACAAATAGATTGTACATAAGTATAAATAATGATTTAAAAGGGAGTGTATCGATCCCTGCAGCGCTTATATCTAATCTTTCAAACTGCAATCGGCTTACTGTTTTCTCGAAATATTAGCTCATGTAATAACTTGTATATTTATACAGATATGTTATCAAAGTCAAGAGCATTAATAAGATAAAACTTAACCATTACATTTTATACCTACTGCCTCGGTTTTTTAAGAGGGAAAAATCATTCAATGACTTCTCCCGCCTGGGTGAGGCGAGGCCCGTTCCTACTGCTAAAACTTGAGCCCCGGTAACCTGTTAAGTTGTCCGTAGCTTCGGACCTACTGCGTTATTGCTTAAGGAAACTATGATCATTATCAATAGGCTCTTCTCACGCGGAGAAGGTTATTTTTTTTAAAGAAAACGTTGCCCCACATTAGGATTTTCTCCTGTGTCGTGGGTGCGTTTACAAACATACAAGTTCACATACACATTGACACCCAGACCCGAAACACTTTGTGTGATCCACAAATTGTTGTTCCGTGCGGGAATCGAACCCGCCACACGTTGCACGGCAGTCGGTTGCCCAGCCACTGCACCAACCGTGCAGTCAACGTTAATCACCACGCTTGCTCAATGCGGGTTGGCGATTACAAACTTATAATTAGAAATTATAAGCCCAGGTTTCCCCACGAGGTTTTCCTTTACCGTTTTGTCAGTGGTGTCTAAATAATCTTAAAAAGTTCATATAACTCGGAGAAAGTCACATTGGTATTTGCCGTTCGTAGGTTTCGAACTCGCACCCTCATGCATGAGAAGCGGGCAGCTTAAACGTTCGGACCACCACGATATTTTATGAAATCTGACTATCAATTACAACATTTTCATGTGCAGTCCCAAATTGTAGAAAACCTAGTCGATTTTAATTTATTTTTTTGCAAAGGATGGCAAACTGTCAGAGTATACGGAAAATAAGACTTTGTCCTGTTATTTTATTAGACGTTAATTGCTACTGCATTAATTAACTCCTGCATTGGACACAAATAGCTGTTTTTTCATTAACTTATAGGTGTGGAAGAGCCATGCTTCGGCACGAATGGGCCGGCTCGACCGGAGTGATACCACGGTCTCATAGAAACCGACGTGAAGCAACTCTTGCGTTGTGTTTCGTTGTGTGAGTGAGGTTACCGGAGGCCCAATTACCCTCCCCTTCCCCAATCTCCCCAATCCCTGAATCCCCATCGATCCTCAAACTCCTAATCCCCAAAAGGCCGGTAACGCAGTTGTAACGCCTCTGGTGTTTCAGGGTGACGCCGATTGCTTACCATCAGGTGATCCGTCTGCTCGTTTACCGGCTTATGCCTTAAAAAAAACATATACAAAATTATTAATTTAGTCTATCAAGTTCAAAGATATCTTCATGACATTATGCTAATCTAAAGGCCGTTATTTAGATAAAATATGGCGTCATTGACAATATCTTTAAAGCCGTGGACTTGACCGATTGGTGCAGATATTATGTCATTTATTAAATTTATCCAAAATCGATTTGTTGTCGCATTGGTTTCCAAGCAAGAGGAGTTGAATTTTCATCATTTGGTGTTAGATGATGAAATGGTTTCTCAAATCAAGTCATGAAATTAAATATTCTTATGAATATGTGAACATAACGTTCGGGAGATATGAATCGAAAAATCATTTTTGTAGCTGCAGTCAAAGACGATAGCAGAATAGTTACAAATAAAGACACAGACTGAAAGGACTTCAGTGTTCCGGTGTTTTCATGGTTATATCTACTGTAGATCCTGGCTTACAGGAGTTGCAGCGGTTTTGGGAGGTTGTGGCGGGCTTGTCCCATAAAAAAAGACAGAAAGAATAAATACCTAAAATAGTTATTGCTCTATGATATCAAAGTCAAAGTACTTAATAATAACACAACATAACACAATATCGCGCCTTTTATCCCCAAAGGGGTAGGCACTTAATGCCACTGTACAATGTAACCCCCATTTTTCAAGTTAAGAGTCCCATGTAATAGGGAGTTAGATACCATATATACCGGGCATAACTGTAGACTCTGACTCTACTGAAAATTTTTCTAACAATCCTGTAATGCTTTACCGGACCCAGAAATCGAACCCAAGACTCCCTGCCCAGCAGTTGCACTTGCGACCACACTTGACCATCGTGGCAGTGGAACATAAGTTACTTATAGTAATCTTAAAACCAAAATCTCCTTCTTACAGGTCTTCCCGCGGAGCAAACTCAAGGCTACCTCAACTATAACCCTACCCTGAAGTACACCAAGGATGGAGACACCTACACCTATACTTCCACCACCGCCCAGGGCAAGAAAGAGGTTCCCTTCAAGTCTGGAGTCGCCTTCGATGAGACTGTCGCTGGCATGAAAGTGAGTTTCTACCTCTATAACTTCATGTTTTGCATCTCCTTCAGTATATTATCGTCTTGATTAAGTTTCAATTTCGATCTCCTAGATACTTCTGGATGGCAATTTAGTTGATGTTATAGGCATTAATGATGATTATATGTAAGGCTAGGCTACTGCCTTGGACCTTACATATAATAGTGTATTTTAATTGATGCTTTGGTTATGTGTTAGACTAAGTTAATGTTTAAGTTGTAAATACATTTGTTATGTAGAAGCACGATGGGATTGACATCGTCACAATGTGTACAAAAATCCCTTGAAATAAATGAGATTAAAAAAAAAATTGATGCTTTGTACACACAATCATCTCTACTTTATTCGTATTTTTTGAATAGATGCCGTTTGTTTATACATACATATATAACCTCATGGGGGTAGGCACCTGTCTCTCGTGGGTGTAGGCAGACGCAGACTTAAGAACGACAATTGCTACGATTACATACATATAGTACATTACCACACGCCTTTCTCCCATGGGAGTAGGCAAAATACTGTGGAACGTCAAGAGCTAAGATTCTTAGATTCCTCTTTCACTTCATCAACAGTCATCAGTCTTTTAAAGGTCTTGTTAAGGGTTCTATTGATGTAGACTTCGTTTGTATATAAACATTTCCGATTTCAATATTTGTGATTATCTTAGCTACTAAAACTTTATTATCTTTTAATTATTGTGTGAATCAATCAACTTAAATGTGTCTTTACGGTACTTGCTGTCAGTTAATTAAATATTTAAAAAAAGATTACTTGATCATGTACCACTTGATTTTCTTTAACAAGTTTAACGCCATGGGGGTCACCGGTGACCGGCGGCGTTAGCGGAGGATTTACCTTCAACAGTTTTTTATTGGCAGTCAAAGTCTTAACTTCTATTTATAGATATTCATTAATATCCACCTTACCTTCACCTTCTTTATTAAAAGTAGATAAGTCATTGTATTAAATGGATTATCCTCCCCTTCTTCCAGGTCAACACCACCTACACCGTTGACGGTGACACCATCACCCAGGTCCAGAAGTCCGATGACGGAGTCCTGACCATCACCAGGACTTTCTCTGGAAACGAGCTGGTTGTGGTAAGTAGTTGTGGATTCAAAATATACTATCAATAATTGACATCTTTAATAGTCATTACGATTAGCCTACCATTAGCAGTCCCTGACAGCCAACGGACCATTATACAAACCTCTTCCTGTAGGTCTGTTGAAGCAGTTATGAAGGTTCAACGTATCAGAGAGCTCTCTTTACTGCTACTCTGCTTTTACCACACCGTTTATGCTTTGAATTTAACTGACAATGGGTTTAATCTAGCTTAACATTATATGCACTTAGGGCTGATTATTTCAACGCCAGATAACTTTTTACTTAGGAATAACTTTGAATATTTGACTATTCTTCCATACTAATAACTATGAAATTTTAGTTTTATTCTACTATTAAGAATTAAAAACATAACATAACATCACGCCTTTTATCCCCGAAGGGGATCCCAGAGGTGCACATTACGGCACTAAATGCCACTGTACAATGTAACACCCACTTTTCACTATTTATGTTCTGAGTCCCATGTAATAGGGGGTGAGCCTATTGCCATATACCGGGCACATTTCCAGACTCCTTGATACTACTGAGATTTTTAAAAACCCACTAACACTTTGCCCGACCCGGGAATCGAACCCGAGACCTCTTGACCAGCAGTCGCACTTGCGCCCACTTGGCCAACGAGGCAATTAAGAATTAACTGATGATTGAAAAATCGGCCCGTAAAATGGGTTGTGGAAAGTAGATGGCACCGATTTCACGTAAAGTGCATACATTCAGTCGAATTTGTTTGAGATCCTTTGGAGTTACTATACCGGGAATGGAACTAGAAGATAAACAGTTCTACTAATAAAACATTCACACAATGCTTGCATTCATAATAATGTTGAACCTTTTCATTTCAGACCCTGAAGACCAACAAATGGGACGGCGTTGCCACTAGATACTACAAGGCTTAATTTATTTAATTTTACCTCAAAAGTATTATTATTATATTTACCAATTGAATTTATTATTATTATTAAAATTATTTAATTTTCTTTGCTTTCTTGTTTTATTGCTAATAGAAAAAAAATCCTTAAAAATAACACGATGCCGATGGGCCGGTAATGCAGAATTTTTCACTGCAGTAGAATTTGGCAATATTGTAGATTTTGATGTGCTCTTTCTGATTTTTATTTTGGCACCCAGTAACACACAAAACGACAGCATAAAAACAGTTTTCTTTGCTATATTTATTTATTTATTTATTTCTTCTTCACAAAATAAGGTGAATGGCGGACTTAATGCCTTAAGGCATTCTCTTACAGTCAACCATAAGGAAGTGCAGAGAAATGAAGTGGTTGATGCGAAGACAGACAACAATAAAAAAAAAGGTTATGTAATATGTATACTACACACATAAATACCTATAGAATAAATATATTAATACAATATTTTATAAATAGACATATACATACCATATAATATATACTACTAAACAAATACTTATACTGCATAAATACTACAATATATTATATAAAAAAAAGAGAACGTTGTTAGAATAGTTTCCTCAATTGTTTTGAGTTTGCCAATGCTCAAGTAGATGCTCACGGACTTTAAATTTAAAGGTATTGCGACTTGTTGCCATTCTGATCTCCTTGGGCAACGCATTCCACAGAATAACAGCTTGAATGAAAAAGGAAGAATGAAAGAAGTCAGTGCGATGAGAGATACATTGAAGATGTCGGTTTTGAGACGAACGAAGAAATTTTGTGTGGTTTGCGCACGTATATTGAAAGTAAGAAGCAAATCGATCTCGAACATATAGTTTTCATTGCTATATTTCTCTCTCAAACATATTATGCCACGTACGACACACCGTGTAGCACGCAGTACCATAACAAAATTCAAATCAAGTATTGCCCTGGAAAACAAAATACAAATACAAACACAGTATTATTTTGATTACTCGATTTACGACTATGACTATTCTACTAGGTGATTAAACATTATTTGAGTGCAAATGTTAATCAATAGTATAGTACTCGTACGATATTTATTATTATTTTTGTGATTAAATAAAGCAAATCAATCATGATCATTAAGTTTCGGTTACGATAATGACTGCATTTTGGGATTTGTAATGATTTTTCATCAAATTTCGCGAAATTAAAACATGTCATCATGATTAAAGAAAATTAAGTACGTTCATGATTTAATAATCTCTAAATGATCACTGAATACTTCGAGATAAATAATATGAAAATTGAAATTATCTCATTAACTTATCGTTTACCACCAGGCGAGTTGGTGAGCAAACGCTATCCTATAAGGTATAAAAAAAACTTATGGTTAACCTGGAAACAAACTGCCTCCGATCAAGCAAGACTCTTATGATCTTTTCCCAAAACATAGCATCTCCTGTAATGAAATTTCAATCTTTAGTACTCGTCTACGCGTAGGTGACCAACGATATCTCACAGTCATAAATAAACTGTTTTTTTTTATGGCATAAGCCGGTAAACGTGCATACGGATCACTTGGTAAGCAATCGGCGTCGCCCATGGACACCTGCGTTATCGGCCTTTTGGGGAATTAGGAGTTCGAGGATCGTTGGGGATTCAGGAATTGGGGAGATTGGGGAAGGGGAGGGTAATTGGGCCTTCGGTAACTTCACTCACACGACGAAACACAACGTAAGCGTTGCTTCACGTCGGTTTTCTGTGAGGCCGTGGTATCTCTCCGGTCGAGCCGGCCCATTCGTGCCGAAGCATGGCTCTCCCACACTTTAATCTATCTCATAACGAAGCAAATTGGAAGACATTATTTGAAAGAGAAGAGTTGGACCTAAGTAAAGACCTAACAAGATTTTGATGTCGATGCGGACGAAATGTTTGATGCTTTCTGTAAATAGTCAATTTTAGTTTTCTTTTATTTTACACTTCTATTAGTTTTAGTTTATTTAAAGTTATTTTATTATTTTTTTGTTTTCAGCCATGATCGTCCTACTGCAGAGCCAAAGCCTCCCTACACTCCTTCTACTCCTCTCTATATAAAGCTATTTGCGGCCAATCCTTGTCATAGATGTCTAATTCGTCCCGCCATCTCCTTTTGGGCCTGCCGCGACGTCTACTGACGTTGAGTGGGCTCCACTCAGTAGTAAGTTTTGCCCACTGCTCGTCTGACATGTGGCAGACGTGACTAGCCCAGTTTGACTTCCAGCCTGGGGCTTTATGGCCAACGTCAACGATTTTAGTCGTGGAGCGCAGCATGGTGTTCCTAATTCGAATTATTTTAACTTGTTCATATTTATTTATTTCCTTATTGTGATATTTATTTATGTTTCTGTATATGAGTACCTATTAACTACAAGTTACATGAGAAAAAAAAGGGTAACAAGGACTCCGAATAACTTTATTGCTATTGAGATACATGTGTCTACTGTTAGCGACTCATAAATCATAATTAGCAAATGGGGTCATAATAAAATTTTACAAATATATACATGTGTTTTTTTAAGGGGGAAAATGATCGCATTGCTCATCCCGCCCTGGGTGATTCTTGAGGGAGTGTCAGACTCTTACTGTTTAAAAACCACCTCATTCCAACTTCTGCTTCAAGCCCTACCGTAACTCGTGCGGATTTCCGCAAGTTATGTTTATTAAATAGTATATTTGTAAGAACAATATTCTTCCTTCAATCGTGTAAAAAGAAAATAAAAAAGATTCTTTTTTTATTTATTTGTTTTAGTTATGATAATTCGTGTTCATCATACCTAGACCAAAGTTCACACAAAAAACAATTGTACAGTAAACTATCGTAATGGTGCAGTTATGTACACTGTAATTATCTTTATCAAACCGTGGTAGACCACTGCTGGGTTTTTTTTAAGGGGGGAAAATCATCGAATGACTTTACAGAGAAAGTGTCAGACTTTTACTGACTAAAAATCACCCCGTGGTGGCCCTATTGGGCGCCATCCGTGGTGGTCTGATGGCTCTTTGAGGAGCGCGCGGAACACGACAAACCGTACGCTCGGGTCTGGTTCTGGTTGGGCGGCGATCTACCCATGCTGGCCGCCCGCAGGCTCGTGCTTACGGTGGTCAGAAATTGTCCCGTGATCTCCGACGCCCGGAGTATCCTTCGCGACGGCTGGGCTGTGAGTAGGCATTGCGTCGCTGCCTCACGCACCCTGCCTCCTCCTTAGCTAGCATGAATACTCGCAAAGGGAGGAGACCGCATCCCAGGCCTCTTTGCTCCCACTGCTGGGTTATGGCTGTCATATAAGTGTACAAAACTCTCGAACGCCTGCACCGAAACCGATAAGTTATTTGCTGATATTTTTTAAAAATTTCCGAGAAAGTCAGGAATAAGCCAGCAAACTCATAATCAATCGATTATGTAGTTTATTAATAAAATTGATACTGATAATCTGGGTCATAATGTCAAGCTACAATATCGTCCGAATATTATTGACGTGGTACTAATAAAAGGTTTATTGTACGCAATGATAAGCCACCTGTGGTAAAGTATTGAAGCATTATCGGTGTGACTAATTTAGGTTTGGAACTTGAACATTTGACTGATACACAAAGTTCTTTGAATGAGGAAACAGAGTTACATACTAAAATAGAAGATGAACTACCATCTACTGATAAAACTGTAAACTGTAGCTGTAAAACAGTGGTGACCTAAAATGTTTAAGACGCCCGCTTTTAAGGGTTCGAAAGCTACCAACGGCAAAGTACCAATGTCCATACCAATTTCCGAGTTATATGTACTTTCGAAGATTATTAAGATACCACTGATAAACGGTAAAGGAAAACATCGTGAGGAAACCTGGGTTAAAATTTTCTAATTATAAGTTTGGAATCGTCAACCCGCATTGAGCAAACGTGAGGATTAATGCTCAAACCTTTTCCGTGTGAGAAGAGGCTTTGGTCAGCAGTGGATACTTATAGGCATCAGCCTATTCTACAATTCTATCATCACCTGATGGTGATGTGATGGTGATGATAGAATTATAAATAGTAAATAGTTATCTGTGCGAAACAATGATGGGCTTGATGAAGTTTTGACTAATTGTTGAACAGTATTTCATAAGATAGACTTGCCGTTTTATACCACCACGATGATTTTCAAACTGTATCAACTGTAAATGTAATAATACTAAGTGTATAATAAAACTGCACCTTGTCCAAAGATATGTCTTAAGATATCGGCCATTTTGCTCAACTTAAAGAGACTAGCACACTTACCATTATCAACGGTAGCGACTGACGACTCGATACCTATTTACAGACGATTTCTAAATATACGTTCTAAAAGAACATTGATGTTTCGCCACGCCAGTATTCATTAGAATTTTCATCACCCCATCATATCAACTACAAGACGTCTTCTTTAGGCTTTCCACAATGTGTTCCAGATCAGTCAATTGCTCCTTACTTCATTTATTACATCGTCGATTCACGTTGTCGAGTCAAAATACCGATGGCAACGGCCACGATAATAATTTTTGAAGCAGTGTAATACTATCTTCATTTTCTACGGTCGGCAAATTAACCAAGTCTGCAAGATACTTAAGTATTACGATGGGTATCTATCAACTAATAAGTTCACTTTTATTGCCACTATATAACCAAATAAATTATAATTTATCATTTTGATAAGTATTACGATATAAAGTTACGGAACTTCAAAACTCAAGCATTGGAGAATAGTTTTTTGTAAAAACTAATCGTAAAAATGGCTTTCCTTAATAAGACTTACAAATTCGTGAGCCAGGAGAACTTCGATGCTTTCCTCAAGGCATCTGGTATGTTATTTGAAATGCAGTTTTATAATAATATACATTAAGTGCATTATCGTATTCTTGCTCAAAGGTCCAACAGAGCGTTAAAGGATGTTAAAAATTGAACTGATGTGGCTTATTAATTTATATGAGTTTATCGAAGACATTTTTTCGTACTAAAATAGAAGCATGTATTTCTGATTTAATACTTTGTCGGCATTCCTGTTAGAAAGCCTGTATTTTCTGAAGAGTAATCTGGGTGTCATCAAGGTCCGAGTAAATAGGTTACTTATGGGACAACGTGCTCCATCGTAGACATCATAACTTACTACCAGGCGAGATAGTGGTCAAACGTCGGCTCATCAAATATAAAAAACAGCCGTTCGCTTCCCTGAAAGCCGTTAGTGAGCAAAATAACATTACAGCCATAACTTTTGTTCAAGTGTTTTATCCCAATGGTTTAAATTTATCTTCTAATAGAACAAGAATTAATTCACCAAAGAATTTAAAATATAATTCACCGAAGAAAAACATTAATTACCATGACATACTCATTCCAGGTGTCCCTGCAGACAAAATCGAAAAGACCCTGAGCTACACACCAGACCAAAAGATCGTTAAGGATGGTGACACCTACAACTACATCGTCTCAGGAGCTCTCGGCACAAAGGAAATCAAATTCAAGTCCGGAGTGGAATTCGATGACAAACTTGGCACTGAACAGACTCCCGTAAGTATTATAGAAGCTATGTTTTTATAATAACTATCGCGAGACATTCTGAATTTACTAAAAATTACGAGTTATTCACGTAAATATACTGAGATAAGCTCTACTAGTTTCGAGTCACAGAGGGACTCTTCCACGTGAGCAGCGTGCTCGGTCGCAGTAGGCTGCGCGACTGCGCACGACTATTGAGTAAATTATTATGTTTTCGGCTTACTCACGTAATAATTTGACGAGGAAAAGCCTCTAGCATGCCTTAAAACTAGTCGAGTTCCTCGTAAAATTATTACGTGAGTAAGCCGAAAACACAATAATTTATTTAGTATGTCTCACGAAAGTTACAATACGAGTATTGAGTAACTCGTATTTTTTAGTTAAGTTATAGTAGCTACTTATTCATAACTGAGACTAGATCAAAAGTATAATAAATTCTGATGTCTGGTAACATAGACGTCAAGCAGCCAAAACTGATAGTGGTAGAAAACTACTAGGCACTACTACTATGTAAGTTTCAATTTGAAACTATGTCATTGTCAGAATAATCTCGACCAATGACGAACGAGAATGCGATTCGAGTTCACTTTAAAAGTTGAAATTTACAGTTAAACAGAATAGCCTGCCTGAAAGCCAAGTCAGTTCCCTTCGAAAACACTCCTATAAAAGAAGTTCAAGTGATCAGCAGTCGTGCTAAAAAGTGACTTTTTAAAAATAACGAAATTCTGAAATCTTTTCATCTGAAATATTATAGAATTAATAAAATAGTGTATCTTATTTCATGTTACTCGTAATATTTTAATTTATCTCTTTTTGTTAACTAGGTCAAGAGCACAATCGTAGTTGACGGCAACACAGTGATCCAGACCGCTAAAGGATCCACTGGCGTCGCTACCTTCAAAAGGGAATACAACGGAGATGATTTAGTTGTGGTGAGTACATTATTTTAATGAATTTATCAATAACAGTGTGGGAGAGCCATGCGTCGGCACGCATGGACCGGCTCGACCGGAGTTACTCAACGATCTCCCCAATCGCTGAATCCCCAACAATCCTCAAATTCCTAATTCCTAAAGTCCAGTATCGAACTTGTAACGCCTCTGGTGTTCCGGGTGTCCATGGATGATGCCAATTACTTACCATTAGGTCCGTCCCATATAAAAATTTATGATCTTAGAATACACAGCTTTTCCTGGAAACTGTCATTGAGCTAAATGTGTCAGTAGTACCAATGGAAAGAAAGAAGTAAGAAAGAAAAATGACAATCAATGACACACAAAAAATGAAGCAGTGAAGACGGCGCAAAAAGGCCAGAGCTCAGCTTAAATGTCGTGTCCCGAGTGCGCTCGAGTCTATGTATAGACTTGCTTGTTGCTACCAAATTAACATCATATACACAAACTACTACAACCATTTATAAACAAACAACTGCTAAATAACGTAAACCAATAGTTTTTAAAAAGTGCCGCAAGGTGGCGTCGTAGGACCAACGCTATTTTGGGAATTTATTTAATTATTTCATTCGTATTTTCAGACTGTCACCCTCGACAATTGGGACGGCTCCGCCAAGAGGTACTACAAAGCTGCATAAATAAACCAACCAACAAACGAATAGTTCTTAATTTAATTTATTTTTGTAATAAAGTCAAAATTTTCAGTTAGTACAGTTTTAGTTTTTATTATTTGAATCTCACGATTATGTATCAAGGTGACTGCGCGGTTGGCGCGGTAGCTAGGTATCTGGCTGCCACGCAACGTGTCGTGAGTTCGATTCCCTTAAGAACAACTCTTTATGTGATCCACAGATTGTTGGTCCGGATCTGGGTGTCATGTGTATGTGAAATTGTATGTAAACGCACCCACGACACAGGAGAAAATCCTGGTGTCGTGGGCCACGTTTTTATCAAAGATATTTTAGCTGCTATGAAATGCATTAAGAGTGATTCAAGAAAAATTATACGGTTTAAAGACAATTCTAGAGGTTTGTGAATTATTCAGTTAGACAATACTGTTCGTTGCTATGAAGGTTCAGTGCGTAGGAACCAATATAACAATAATTATTGATAAAATTATGATAAAATATTCATAATTACATGTTGACGAGTGATATTATGTCAATCACTTGATTAATTGAAGATAGATGGGTTTTTAATTATTTTGCAGTCTCAGTTACTTTTCTGGAATATAGATGTCAGTTACAAAATAATGTAGGAATATTTTTGTGTAATATTACGTTGGTTTTAGAGCCTCCCTGACCGCTGGCTGAATGTCGGCGCTGATAGCCGAGATATATGAACTTGGTGGTCAGTGCTGACCACCGTGCACGCCGATAACTACGCGTTATTCAAAAACGCTTCCTAGAAGTTCATATATTTCGGCCAGCAGCACAGACGGGTGCATGTGCCGTCAGCATCAGACTAAAACCAGCCTTAGTGGGTATCTGACAGAATGATGTTAAATGATAAATTCAAAATACCATACAGTTATTTACACTTTTTCCTTATAATTTGCACGATCACGATCTCAACGTGGAGCAATTTTGTTGCTAATTGCTGGGTGATATTTTATATCAGTATCATCCTTATCATACTCATAATAAAGTTTAGTATTGATAGTAGAGAATTAACTAAAAAATATTATCTAAGATACTACAAGACGTTCTTATTGCCCCCTATCAGACGATAAAATGGTCACCAGTAGCTTCAGTTATGAAATTGAGCGTAGTATTCTAGAAATTACGATTATTAACAGATTAATCTTGATGATAGATACCTCTACTGACTGCCTCGTTGGCCGAGTGGTCGCAAGTGCGACTATCGAGCAAGGGGTCTTGGGTTCGATTCCCGGGTCGGACAAAGTATTACTGGGTTTTAAAAATTCTCAATGGTAGCATGGTACCTGGAATTATGCCCGGTATATGGCAATAGGCTCACCTCCTATTACATGGGACTCATAACATAAATAGTGAAAACTGGGTGTTACATGGTACAGGCCACTGTTAGGCAGAGGTTACATGAGGTAAGGTGCACTGCCTTCCCATTCGGGGATAAAAGGCGTGGTATTATGTTATGTTATGATAGATACCTATTTGTTTTTGCTGTCACAGGTATACTACAGTGGAAATTCTTTCAATAGGAATATGTATGTATAACATAATATTAACATAATTTTCAATAAATATGTACAACCTAAAATTAACTTAAACTAAAACAGTGAATAAAAATAACCAAAAAAAAGTTAGACGTCAAAGAACTTGCCTGCATTACTATCACTGGGGAACGTTCCTAAAAAACTGGCAGCAGTGCCACAATATAATTGTAATTAAATTAAAATTGTAATAGTAATAGTGCGCTGTTATAGAATAAATAAAATCGTCTTTAAGATTAAGTAACAAGCTAATATGCAAGAAACATGCGGATGACCGACTGGGGGAGTCAAGCGTCAACTGTGTAGGCGGGAGTAGGCGTTAGCGTAGTTTTCCACGAAAACCACTCGAGAAACGGAACCAAATTCCTAGGGCCACTAACGTGGCCGAAACTGCTGCAAACATAGCGGTAGGTCGAGGCCTGCTGGGTATGGTAATTCCGTAAGGGCATCCCGGGCCACGGTCACAGGCAGTGGAGGAACACCGAGGTGGTTTTAGCCGGTAAGAGTCTGGCAGACACAACGTGGTCGAAAGTCCAAAAAAAAGTTAAAATGGAATACCCTTTGTATTTAACGTGTCGTTAAAAGATAAAAACTAAGTGATATTGTATATCATTCATGGAAATGTTAATCACTACCAAAAGTCAAAAAGGAGAAAGGAGTAGAAATATTTTTATGACAAAATCTTTATTTAGAAGAAGTATCAAATAAATACATAATAATAATAATTAAGCTTTAAAGAATATTTTAGCAGTGCCATCCCAATTGTCCCTGGTAGCAGTCTGAAAGTAAAATAAAATAATTAATATAATCAATATTCTGGATACTTAAAACATTGTTGCAGTGTAAAATCAGTTGTAAATTATAACGATGGTCCTAATATGTAGCCTTGCGGTAGTCTTGTTTTAGAAATATTACAATATACACCAAAGGATTTAACTATAAAAAATATTCAGCAGCTGTAGCCAAATGCCATTTAGCGCTTGGCTACTTGTAGAGTAGTAAACTAAATTATATGGAATTGACGTAAATTTTGACACTTATCAGTGTCATTTATTTTATTAACATTACTTGTATCTAGAATTCGGACTGTTTAGGAGAAGAGAAATTGTAAAATGCAATTATGTTATTAGCTCACCAGCACAAGATCATCGCCGTTAAATTCCCTCTTGATTGTGGCGTTGATTTCCTTGGCTTTAATCGTCTGTGTTACTGTGTTTCCATGAACGATAAAAGTACTTTTGATCTGAAAGCAGGATAAACACAAATGATAAATTATTATTTACTTAATTCCAATAGACCTAACATCAAAAAACTAGATTTGTATTGGTTATTTTTTGATTTACTAATCTAATTTCGGAAAATGAGAATTTTTTATAAAATGTCTGTAAAATTAAAAAAATCACTTCAAAACCAAGAAGGGTAAAATTAAGAAATTTAATAAAATGTTATCCAAAATAAAACGAAATACTTACAGGTTTCTTCTCTGGTCCAAGAACATCATCGAACTCTACTCCAGACTTGAATTTGACTTCATTAGTACCTACTGGAGACACTGTTAGAAGCGTATACGTATCTCCATCTTTGGTCAGTTTCTGTTCTGGTTTACCCTCCAGGATCTTGGCGACCCTCTCTTCAGGCATACCTAGAAAATTGAGAAACATTTTCTAAAATTAACAGTACAATACAATGAACTACCTTTAACATCGACCTATATTTTGTTATGGCTTATTTAATAATGTAATAAATCATAATAGTAATTGTAATTTCCATAATATTGCATGCTAAATGGTAGAATATCGCGGAGCAAATTATTTTATAATAACTACTGTAACATCTACACTTGACCCTATATACGCAATAAGCGATTTGAATATTATTTTGGAAGTTTTCTACTTTGTTAGTTATATGGTATTTTTAAAATAGTAATGGTTATCGCCTTCTCTTCTAATCCTTTCGTGAAGAAATATAAGCACAATTTTGTAGACTTCAAATCGGGTTTGAATATTATTTAAAATACTTTTTCACTATATTTTATTTACATGCATTAAAGCAACAGTAACAAACTTATGTTTGTTTCAAGGGAATCTTTCAATGATGCTTCTAGTTAATGGACATAAAGATTATGTATTTTTATCTCATTTAATTCCACCTCTCTATTAGCATTAATAAAGACTAACAAACCTGCACTTTTGAGGAATCCATCGAAATTCTCCTGCTTCACGAATTTGTAAGTTTTGCCAAAGAAAGACATGCTGATTGCGATTTTACTGAATGAACGAATGATAGGTCGATGCCCATTCAAGCAATATTTATGTTTATGCTAATCGATTAAGATCCGATTAAAGAAAACCAATAATTAAATAATCAGTCATTAGTATAATTACTATGCAGTCTAGTAGTACCTAAAAGTTATGCTTATTAATAGTGACAAAGGAATTTTTATAATTTTTATCATGATTTATTGTTGACTGTCTTGGGGGTCCTCCAGAGGTTATGTGCAACTTTATTAAGCGAGATATTTTAGTTTTAAAAACCTGTTTCTTAATGGGAATTATACACAGATACACACACATAACATAACGCCTTTTATCCCCGAAGAGGTAGGCAAAAGTGTACATTATGCCACTGTAACACAACTACAATGTAACACCCCCTAACATACACGCCCCGGTAACCCGTTAGGTTCTCCGCGACTCCGAATCGGCATCGGCCCTGTTGGGTCCTATCTGTGGTGGTCTGATGGCTCTTTGAGGCGCGCGCGGAACGTATCTCGCCGTACGCTCGGGTCTGTTTCTGATCGGACGGGGAGCCACCCATAATCCCCGTCCGCAGGCCCGCGCTTATGGTGGCCGGGGATCATCCCGCGATCCCCGACGCCCGGTGTGTCCTTCGCGATGGCTAAGTTGCGAGGAGGCAGCGTCTCGCCTTCTCCTTAGCTAGCATAACTGCTTCGAAAAAGGAGGAGACGGCATCCCAGTCCCCCTCGCTCCGCATCATGACCTGCACTAGGCCCGGACGCGAGAGGTCGCCTGTCGCCTGTCGTCACTTTCCTGAGGGCACGGCGGTGCTCAGCCCACGCAAAGCATTCTCCCACTGTGTGTTCCACCTTGTCCTCAGGGCGGTCCTCGCAGTGATGACACGCGGGCCTTTGCTCCCGCCCCATCAGACACAGGTACCTAATGAAACTTCCATGTCCGGTGAGGACCTGCGTCAGGCGGTAGGTGAGGACGCCGTAGCGTCTCTCAAGCCACTCTCACTATTTATGTTCCCATGTAATAGGGGGTGAGCCTATTGCCATATACCAGCCGAGGGGTCGCAAGTACGACTGCCGGGCAAGGGGTCTCGGGTTCTATTCCTCGGCTATTACATGGGACTCATGACATAAGTATTGAAATGTGGGCACTGTATTACATGGCACAGTGGCAATGCCTACCCCTTCGGGGATAAAAGGTGTGATGTTATGTTATGATAAATTGAATTTACAAAAGGCTCATTTCCAAGTTTATAGTAAAGATATCTTTGGACATAAATCTACCATCTAAGTTCCTATATTTCCAGTAAGTAAAGAGTCTTTTTCACTACCTAAATAAATCACTCTGAATACTTTATATAAAGATGTAATTAATACCGATTTTGTAATATGATCAGATTCAGGTTGTCTAAAAGTTGAAGAGTTATTTTTTTATTGGGACAAGCCTGCCACAACCTTCCGAAACCGCTGCAACTCCTGTAATCCAGGATCTACAGTAGATACAACCATGAAGACATCGGAACACTGAAGTCCGGCGCGTCCCAGGGACACGAATAACTGTTTTGGTTCCCGCAACGAAGTGAATCAGAAAATATTATAAGAGGAGAATAAAACAAACAATAGTTTCCAATTCCCTCCCTTTTGAAGAGTTAGCGTATCCAGCAAGAGAGGCAGTTTAATTACTCAACCGATATCGATAACTGTTTTGGTACCCGCAGTAGCTCCGTTCAATCGTACCTATGAAAAAATAATGACACAGCTAAACTAATATAGACGTACCCTATCGATGAATTGAAACTCAATCAATCTCATTCAACATTATAATTAGCAATCAAACTTCCGAGATTATAGACAAAATAATAATTAGTACAAATTAGTCATTCGAAAATCTAAAACGTCATGATTTTTAGGCATTTTTTTTATAAAATGCTTACTCATATAGGTTTATCAAATCTCTGAGATTAGTACCCATAATAAATACTGTTAGTATTGGGATACTAACCATCAGTTGGCCTGAAGATCGGAAGCAAACATGTCTTTCCTTAACAAGAACTACAAATTCGTCAGCCAGGAGAACTTTGAGGGGTTCCTCAAGGCAGTTGGTAAGAAATCTTTAAACACTATTTAAAATTTGACTGCATTGGCCGAGTGGTCGCAATAGGCTCACCCCCTATTACATGGGACTCATAACATAAATAGTTAAAAGTGGGTGTTACATTGTACAGTGGCATTAAGTGCCGTAATGTGCACCTCTGCCTACCCCTTCGAGGAAGACAGGCGTGATATTATGTTATTTAAAACTTAACTATTTATTATGTGACAGAGTTTTTTGGATGTAAATTAGAACATGGCCCATCTAGATGGTAAACAATCAACCTCATCTAGTAACAAGTGCGCTTTTTGGTCCCACTCACATGGCGAAATACAACGCAAGGATTGTTTCGCAGTCCACTGCTAGACTATGTTCCTTATCTGCATAAGAACGCTTCACGATGGACAGGTTGAAGTTTATCAAGAAGTACTGCGGCACGATTTTTTATACTATCATCTAATATAACAATTAATATTACAGGTGTGGCTGAAGATAGGTTTGAGCAGCTGATGAAGTTCGCTCCCGACCAGAAGCTGACTAAGGATGGAGATACTTACACTTATTATAACGTTACACCCGAGGGACCACAGGAAGTCAAATTCAAATCTGGAGTAGAAATTGATGAACTTATTGGCTCCACAAAAATGCCTGTAAGTTCAAACGTTTTTTTCTTTATGAAACAGGATTGTGCTTCTGATTTGTGAGTGAATTAAAAAACATTTCGACCAGAAACACCTTCAAACCTTTAAGAAAAGAGCGTATTCATTTTGAAAAGGCCAGCTACGCACCTTTAACTCCTCTGGTGTTGCGGGTGTTCATGGGCGTTGCAGATCGCTTACCGTCAGGTGATCCGTCTGCTCATTTGCCTCTTACTCCATAAAAAACCTAAACCCAATAATTTAAAAATCGGAATCAAAATCAAATAGTTGTAGTTAGTCTCTTCCATAGTTCAATCGTTAGTCAAGTCATAGTAAAATCAAATCGTTAGTCAAGTCACCATAATGGAGACAAAAATTAAAATATACTTAAATTCTGATTCTATTCATAATCTGTTATTAATTCATAAACGAACTCAATGTTATAATTTTTACATTCCAGGTTAAGAGCACATACGTGGTTGAGGGCGATACCATGACACAAACAGTCAAGTCTGTAGAGAGAGGTGTTGCCGTCTTCAAGAGAGAGTACAATGGAGATGATCTCATTGTGGTAAGTTCATTAAAAATATTGGCACTCTTGTTAACTCTTGGAACAGTGAATAACACTGTTTAACAGCGACTCAATCAACTATATGTTTAGAAGGTTTTGTGTCAGATGAGATTATTACAAAATTTTTTTTCTATAAAATTATAGAAATCCAATCTTTTGTCAACTTAACCCAAAGTTCGGGCAGTACTCTTTAGTTTCGGAATGATAAAAATCATCGCTTGATATTTTACTTGCGATTAATTGATTAACAAAGCACTTGTTGTTTTTTTTTCTTACATGTTAATATTTTATTTTCCAGACCATTACCTTAGACAAATGGGATGGCGTTGCGAAGAGATTCTATAAGGCCGAATAAATACTACTTCATCATCACACTCTAGTCATACATGCATGACATGCTTTGAAATCAATCGTCACTCGTTGCTTATTTTTAAGTTCAAAATTATTTATTTTTATGAAGTTATTTACTTATTTATTTTAATAAAAAAATCACTACCAACTACTTGTTTATTTTTATTTATTGAAACTCCATACAGAGGTTTGGTTTATATCCTTTTACACAGTTAGGTACTTTAGGTTCTAAGTGGCAGAACAGTAACTACAGGACACTTCGTAAAACTTTTTCAAAATTTGCCTTTGTCAATGTGTGGATGGAATAAATAAATAAATTAATTAATTAAATGTCATAGGTACTGGTGGTTGATCAACACACTGTATTGTACCTAATAGGTTTTACTTAAAACCATTCCAGCTTTATCTTATATCTTATACTACTATATAAAGCTGAAGAGTTTGTTTGTTTGTTTGAACGCGCTAATCTCCGGAACTACCGGTCCGATTTCAATAATTATTTTTGTGTTGAATAGTCCATTTATCGAGGAAGGTCATAAGCTACAAAACATTACACTACGATTAATAGAAGCTGAGCAGAGTTGGTGCAACCGCGCGAAAGTAGTTAGTATATTTTAAGTTTTATTTCCTAAAACTATTTTACTGTACGACTTCTTTCTACAATTCGTTCCTTTTATTTTTACATGATTTAATTTAATATCATCACTTTAAATAACATTTATCCTGAGACACTGAGTCTTGTCATAAAGTTCACTAGTGATATTTTCAACCAATAAGTTTGATGGTAAACTGAAGACTGCCTCGTTGGCCAAGTGATCACAAGTGTGACTACGGAGCAAAGAGTCTCGGGTTCAATTCCCGGGTCAAGCACAATATTATTGGGTTTTAAAAAAATCTCAGTTGTAGCACGGGGTTTGAAATTGTGCCCGGTATATGGCAATAGGATCACCCCCTAATAAATGGGACTCATAACATAAGTAGTGAAAAGTGGGTGTTACATGGCACAGTGGCATTAAGTGCCGTAATGTGCAACTCTGCCTATCCCTTCGGGGACAAAAGGTATGTTATGTTATGATAAACTAAATTTACAAAAGGCTCATTTCCAAGTTTATGCAACACAAAATAGTAACGATATGAACATAAACATATTTTATTTTTTTATTATTTAAGATAAATTGCAGCGCCCTCACAGGGCCATGTTGATACTGCTTAACCAAAATAATATGTATTAAGTATAACACCTTGGTACCCACACATGAAGCAATAAAGACTTTGAATTTGAATTTAAATTAAGCTAACCATCTAAGTACCTATATTTTCAGTAAGTAAATAATCTTTTCCAGTACCTAAGTAAATCACACTGAATGCTTTATATAAAGAAGTAATTAATACCAATTTTGCAATATGACCAGATTCACCTGAATCTGGTCTAATCATGTGGCTATTTTTTTTTATTGGGACAAGCCCGCTACAGCCTCCCAAAACCGCTGCAACTCCTGTAAGCCAGGATCTACAGTAGATACAACCATGAAAACACCAGAGCACTGAAGTCCGGCGCGTCCCAGGGACATGAGTAACTGTCTTGGTTCCCGCAACGAAGTGAATCAGAAGATATAATAGGAGGAGAAGAAAAAAGGATAGTTTCCACTTCCCTCCCTTTTGAAGAGTTATCGTATCCAGCAAGGGAGGCAGTTTAATTACTCAACCGATATCGATAACTGTTTTGGTAACCGCGGTAGCTTAGTTCAATCGTACCTATAAAAAAATAATGACATATCTAAACTAATATAGACGTACCCTACGATGAAATTAAACACAATCAATCTCATTCAACATTATAATTAGCAATCAAACTTCCGAGATTATAGACAAAACAACAATGAGTACAAATTAGTCATTCGAAAATCTAAAACGTCATGATTTTTAGGCATTTTTTTATAAAATGCTTACTCATATAGGTTTATCAACTCTCTGAGATTAGTACTCATAATAAATACTGTTAGTATTGGGATACTAACCATCAGTTGGCCTGAAGATCGGAAGCAAACATGTCTTTCCTTAACAAGAACTACAAATTCGTCAGCCAGGAGAACTTTGAGGGGTTCCTCAAGGCAGTTGGTAAGAAATCTTTAAACACTATTTAAAATTTGACTGCCTCATTGGCCGAGTGGTCGCAATAGGCTCACCCCCTATTACATGGGACTCATAACATAAATAGTTAAAAGTGGGTGTTACATTGTACAGTGACATTAAGTGCCGTAATGTGTACCTCTGCCTATCCCTTCGGGGAAGACAGGCGTGATATTATGTTATTTAAAACTTAACTATTTATTATGCGACAGAGTTTTTTGAATGTAAATTAGAACATGGCCCATCTAGATGGTAAGCAATCAATCATCCAACCTCATCCATCTAGTAACAAGTGCGCTTTCTGGTCCCACTCACATGGCGAAATACAACGCAAGGATTGTTTCGCAGTCCACTGCTATACTTTGTTCCTCATCTGCATAAGAACGCTTCACGATGGACAGCTTTAGGTTTATCAAGAAGTACTGCGGCACGATTTTTCATTATCATCTAATATAACAATTAATATTACAGGTGTGGCTGAAGATAGGTTTGAGCAGCTGATGAAGTTCGCTCCCGACCAGAAGCTGACTAAGGATGGAGATACTTACACTTATTATAACGTTACACCCGAGGGACCGAAGGAAGTCAAATTCAAATCTGGAGTAGAAATTGATGAACTTCTTGGCTCCTCAAAAGTGCCTGTAAGTTCAAACGTTTTTTTCTTTATGAAACAGGATTGTGCTTCTGATTTGTGAGTGCATTTAGAAATAATTCGACCAGAAACACATTCAAACCTTTAAGAAAAGAGCGTATTCATTTTTATAAGGCCCATAACGCATCTGTGACTCCTCTGGTGTTGCGGGTGTCCATGGGCGGTGCTGATCGCTTACCATCAGGTGACCCGTCTGCTTGTTTGCCTCCTATTCCATTAAAAATGTGTAAATTTGAATTGTGTTCTGGCTTCGCACAAACCACTTCATTTATCTGCACTTCCCTATGGTTGACTGTAAGAGAATGCCTTAAGGCATTAAGTCCGCCAATCACTGTTGTGTTTTGTGAAAAAAAAAATAATAAATAAAAATCATAACCAAACAATTTAAAAATCGAAATCAAAATCAAATAGTTGTAGTTAGTCTCTTCCATATCAAGTCACCATAATGGAGACAAAAATAATAATACTTAGATTTTGATTCTATTCATAACCTGTTATTAATTCATTAACTAACTAAATGTTATAATTTTCATCTTCCAGGTTAAGAGCACATACGTGGTTGAGGGCGATACCATGACACAAACAGTCAAGTCTGTAGAGAGAGGTGTTGCCGTCTTCAAGAGAGAGTACAATGGAGATGATCTCGTTGTGGTAAGTTCATTAAAAATATTGGCACTCTTGTTAACTCTTGGAACAGTGAATAACACTGTTTAACAGCGACTCAATCAACTTTATGTTTAGAAGGTTTTGTGTCAGATGAAATTATTACTAAATTTTTTTTCTATAAAATTATAGAAATCCAATCTTTTGTCAACTTGACCCCAAAGTTCGGGCAGTACTCTTTAGTTTTGGAATGATAAAAATCATCGCTTGATATTTTACTTGCGATTAATTGATTAACAAAGCACTTGTTGTTTTTTTTTTCTTACATGTTAATATTTTATTTTCCAGACCATTACCTTAGACAAATGGGATGGCGTTGCGAAGAGATTCTATAAGGCCGAATAAATACTTCTTCATCATCACAGTCTAGTCATACATGCATGACATGCTTTGAAATCAATCGTCACTCGTCGCTTATTTTTAAGTTCTAAATTATTTTTATGAAGTTATTTACTTATTTATTTTAATAAAAAAATCACTACCAACTACTTGTTTATTTTTATTTATTGAAACTCCATATATAGGTTTGGTTTATATCCTTTTACACAGTTAGGTACTTTAGGTTCTAAGTGGCAGAACAGTAACTACAGGACACTTCGTAAAACTTTTTCAAAATTTGCCTTTGTCAATGTGAGGATGGAATAAATAAATAAATAAATTAATTAAATGTCATACGTACTGGTGGTTGATCAACACACTGTATTGTACCTAATAGGTTTTACTTAAAACCATTCCAGCTTTATCTTATATCTTATACTACTATATAAAGCTGAAGAGTTTGTTTGTTTGTTTGAACGCGCTAATCTCCGGAACTACCGGTCCGATTTAAATAATTCTTTTTGTGTTGGATAGTCCATTTATCGAGGAAGATCAGAAGCTACAAAACATCACACTACGATCAATAGGAGCTGAGCAGAGCGGGTGCAACCGCGTGAAAGTAGTTAGTATATTTTAAGTTCTATTTCCTAAAACTATTTTACTGTAGGACTTATTTCTACCTCTACAATTCGTTCCTTTTATTTTTACATGATTTAATTTAATATCATCACTTTAAAAAAACATTTATCCTAAGACAATGAGTCTTGCCATAAAGTTCACTAGTGATATTTTCAACCAATAAGTTTGATGGTAAACTGAAGACGGCCTCGTTGGCCAAGTGATCACAAGTGTCACTACGGAGCAAGGAGTCTCGGGTTCAATTCCCGGGTCGAGCACAGTATTATTGGGTTTTAAAAAATCTCAGTTGTAGCACGGGGTTTGAAATTGTTCCCGGTATATGGCAAAAGGATCACCCCCTAATAAATGGGACTCATAACATAAGTAGTGAAAAGTGGGTGTTACATGGCACAGTGGCATTAAGTGCCGTAATGTGCAACTCTGCCTATCCCTTCGGGGACAAAAGGTATGTTATGTTATGATAAACTAAATTTACAAAAGGCTTATTTCCAAGTTTATGCAACACAAAATAGTAACGATATGAACATAAATATATTTAATTTTGTATTATTTAAGATAAATTGCAGCGCCCTCACAGGGTCATTTTGATACTGCTTAACCAAAATAATATGTATTAAGTATAACACCTTGGTATACATGAAGCAATAAAGACTTTAAATTTGAATTTGAATTAAGCTAACCATTTAAGTACCTATATTTTCAGTAAGTAAAGAGTCTTTTCCAGTACCTAAGTAAATCACACTGAATGCCTTATATAAAGAAGTAATTAATACCCATTTTGCAATATGACCAGATTCACCTGAATCTGGTCTAATCATGTGGCTATTTTTTTTTTATTGGGACAAGCCCGCTACAGCCTCCCAAAACCGCTGCAACTCCTGTAAGCCAGGATCTACAGTAGATACAACCATGAAAACACCAGAGCACTGAAGTCCGGCGCGTCCCAGGGACATGAGTAACTGTCTTGGTTCCCGCAACGAAGTGAATCAGAAGATATAATAGGAGGAGAAGAAAAAAAGGATAGTTTCCACTTCCCTCCCTTTTGAAGAGTTAGCGTATCCAGCAAGGGAGGCAGTTTAATTACTCAACCGATATCGATAACTGTTTTGGTAACCGCGGTAGCTTAGTTCAATCTTAGCTATAAAAAAATAATGACATATCTAAACTAATATAGACGTACCCTATCGATTAATTATAACACAATCAATCTCATTCAACATTATAATTAGCAATCAAACTTCCGAGATTATAGACAAAATAATAATGAGTACAAATTAGTCATCCGAAAATCTAAAACGTCACGATTTTTAGGCACTTTTTTATAAAATGCTTACTCATGTAGGTTTATCAAATCTCTGAGATTAGTACCTATAATAAATACTGTTAGTATTGGGATACTAACCATCAGTTGGCCTGAAGATCGGAAGCAAACATGTCTTTCCTTAACAAGAACTACAAATTCGTCAGCCAGGAGAACTTTGAGGGGTTCCTCAAGGCAGTTGGTAAGAAATCTTTAAACACTATTTAAAATTTGACTGCCTCATTGGCCGAGTGGTCGCAATAGGCTCACCCCCTATTACATGGGACTCATAACATAAATAGTTAAAAGTGGGTGTTACATTGTACAGTGGCATTAAGTGCCGTAATGTGCACCTCTGCCTATCCCTTCGAGGAAGACAGGCGTGATATTATGTTATTTAAAACTTAACTATTTATTATGTGACAGAGTTTTTTGAATGTAAATTAGAACATGGCCCATCTAGATGGTAAGCAATCAGCCTCATCCATCTAGTAACAAGTGCGCTTTCTGGTCCCACTCACATGGCGAAATACAACTCAAGGATTGTTTCGCAGTCCACTGCTAGACTTTGTTCCTCATCTGCATAAGAACGCTTCACGATGGACAGGTTGAGGTTTATCAAGAAGTACTGCGGCACGATTTTTCACTATCATCTAATATAACAATTAATATTACAGGTGTGGCTGAAGATAGGTTTGAGCAGCTGATGAAGTTCGCTCCCGACCAGAAGCTGACTAAGGATGGAGATACTTACACTTATTATAACGTTACACCCGAGGGACCGAAGGAAGTCAAATTCAAATCTGGAGTAGAAATTGATGAACTTCTTGGCTCCTCAAAAGTGCCTGTAAGTTCAAACGTTTTTTTCTTTATGAAACAGGATTGTGCTTCTGATTTGTGAGTGCATTTAGAAATAATTCGACCAGAAACACATTCAAACCTTTAAGAAAAGAGCGCATTCATTTTTATAAGGCCCATAACGCATCTGTGACTCCTCTGGTGTTGCGGGTGTCCATGGGCGGTGCTGATCGCTTACCATCAGGTGACCCGTCTGCTTGTTTGCCTCCTATTCCATTAAAAATGTGTAAATTTGAATTGTGTTCTGGCTTCGCACAAACCACTTCATTTATCTGCACTTCCCTATGGTTGACTGTAAGAGAATGCCTTAAGGCATTAAGTCCGCCATTCACTGTTGTGTTTTGTGAAAAAAAAAATAATAAATAAAAATCATAACCAAACAATTTAAAAATCGAAATCAAAATCAAATAGTTGTAGTTAGTCTCTCCCATATCAAGTCACCATAATGGAGACAAAAATAATAATACTTAGATTTTGATTTTATTCATAACCTGTTATTAATTCATTAACTAACTAAAAGTGTTATGATTTTCATCTTCCAGGTTAAGAGCACATACGTGGTTGGGGGCGATACCATGACACAAACAGTCAAGTCTGTAGAGAGAGGTGTTGCCGTTTTCAAGAGAGAGTACAATGGAGATGATCTCGTTGTGGTAAGTTCATTAAAAATATTGGCACTCTTGCTAACTCTTGGAACAGTGAATAACACTGTTTAACAGCGACTCAATCAACTTTATGTTTAGAAAGGTTTTGTGTCAGATGAGATTGTTACTAATTTTTTTTTCTATAAAATTATAAAATTATAGAAATCCAATCTTTTGTCAACTTGACCCCAAAGTTCGGGCAGTACTCTTTAGTTTCGGAATGATAAAAATCATCGCTTGATATTTTACTTGCGATTAATTGATTAACAAAGCACTTGTTGTTTTTTTTTTCTAACATGTTAATATTTTATTTTCCAGACCCTTACCTTAGACAAATGGGATGGCGTTGCGAAGAGATTCTATAAGGCCGAATAAATACTTCTTCATCATCACACTCTAGTCATACATGCATGACATGCTTTGAAATCAATCGTCACTCGTCGCTTATTTTTAAGTTCTAAATTATTTATTTTTATGAAGTTATTTACTTATTTATTTTAATAAAAAAATCACTGCCAAGTACATGTTTATTTTTATTTATTGAAACTCCATATATAGGTTTGGTTTATATCCTTTTACATAGTTGGGTACTTTAGGTTCTAAGTGGCAGAACAGTAAGTACAGGACACTTCGTAAAACTTTTTCAAAATTTACCTTTGTGAGTGCATGAACCCGATTTACTATCATTACTCATCTTTATAAATAAGTAGCTAATTATTAAATAATAAAAATTGAATACAACGTTTAATAAGATTGCATTTATTTTTATCATTCCTTATCAAAAAAAGTCATCATGACTAGTCGAAATAAAAATTAATGATGAAATCAAGATCATAATGGCGATAGAAATATTTGTCAAGGCTGACTTGCCCCCAAAGCTACTACAATGTCTTCATTATCATATTACCACCAGGCGAGATAGTGGTCAAACGTCGGCCCAACAAATATCATCACTTCAATTTACGAGACTCTTTGACCATGGGGTTTAAATCCGGAGATGCGGATAACCTATCGGGTTGCCGTTCGGCTTTAAGTTGGAGTAGGAACGGGGTGGTTATTGGTCCATAAGAGAGTAGAGGGTCTGATACTCCCTCTCGCCTCATCCAAGAAGGAAAAAGCCATTAGAAGAAATCATCATCCCTTCAAAAAATGTTGGATCCAAATGCATAAATACTGATGATCGGCTCTTCATGTGATTAGAGGTGTGGTTATTAAATCGGATATGACGTTAGCATTGTCCTACAACGCCAATGCTTCAAGTTTTCTCTCTAGACACGATTTCCGATGACAATGTCGTGGTAAAATATTTTGATGCTCTGTTGATGAGTGATGTTCTTTAAGCTTTGTATACCAGCTGTTTGTTAAATGTAAATACTTTTAGCGTTCATTTTCTCAAGGGGATAAAATTATCTAATGCTTCCTCTCGCCTTGGGTGAGATGAGAGGGAGTATCAGACTCTTACTGACTAAAAACCACCCCATTCCTACTCTCTGCCCTTTGAGCCGGTGCCCCGGAAATTTGTTAAGTCTTCCGTAGAGTCTGTAGGGGAGACCGAGGTTGTTTGTTACAGACGTCAGTTTAGAAAATATAACGAACATTAAACTAAGCCAAAGAACTAGAGTTAAGAGAAAGGCACCTTAGTGATCCTTCACTTTTTTTTATGGAATAGGGGGCAAACGAGCAGACGGATCACCTGATGGTAAGCAATCAGCGCCGCCCATGGACACCCGCAACACCAGAGGAGTCACAGGTGCGTTGCCGGCCTTCACTACTGCACAGTAGCTGGGCAATCTTCTTCCAGGCAACATGTAGCGGGTTTACATGGATGGAGTGTGGGTGCGATTCACAAATTGATGTTTCGGGTCTGGATGTTATGCGCGTGAACTTGTATGTTTGTAACCGCACCCATGACACAGGAGAAAATACTAGTAGGCAATGCTATTCTTGAAAAAAAAATCCCATGAGACACAATCAAGTCTGGTGAAACAGATAAGAGTGAATGACAATATTTTTTTCAATCAATGACTGCCTCGTTTTCCGAGTGGTCGCAAGTGCGACTGCCGAGCAAGGGGTCTCGGGTTCGATTCCCAGGTCGGGTAAAGTATTACTGGGTTTTTAAAAATCTCTGTGGTAGCACGGAGTCTGGAAATGTGCCCGGTATATGGCAATAGGCTTACCCCTATTACATGGGACTCATAACATAAATAGTGAAAAGTGGGTGTTACATTGTACAGTGGCATTAAGTGCCGAAATGTGCACCTCTGCCTACCCCTTCGGCGTGTTGTTATGTTTTTTCAATCAGCATCTTCATTACTATTATTTTTATCAGTCATAAGACGTCTATTGCTTAATATGGACCTTCTGCAATGACTTTTCGATCAGCCAGTTGTTTCATTTCGGATTAATCTTACCAATTATTCGTTAAAAAAGTATTGATGTTCTATAAAAATAACAATCAGGTTTCAAACAGTTAACTTGTGTTGTCAACAGTTAACGTTTACTTTTAATCCAAGATAAGATATAGGCAATGTAACCACGGGTTTATCTGTCAATGATTAATCCAGCCTTGTTCGCTTTAACAAACAATTTACAAAGTATTCGAAGAGTTAGTAAAGAAGTATTTTTATAAATTACGGCATTTTAAACTTTCTACTTGAAACTAGGCTTTATCCTCTTAGTTTTATAGCGATGTAATAGAACTGTTGGGTGAAAATAAAATGAAAAAACACAGAATCTACTGCTCGACATGGTCCCCTTAAATGAAAGGGTTCACCAAAATCACCTCGCTTGGCAGTTTGGAAAATATAAAGATTTACTATATTCTTATTTGAAGCGCTTACACTGTAGTTAGACATCTTTTTTTAGAGACAACCTCCTAAACATTGTTCTTAATTAAAGCCATAACAACGTTATCAGTTATTAGTATGATGCAATAAATTAATGAGTTTCAACTGAAGATCCGTCTTAACATAATTGCTGATGCATACAAACTAAGGCCATTAACACATGGCACAGTGCACCGCCGCGGAAGGCAATTAAGCGGATCTCATGTCACATTGACCTTTAATAAATCCGTAGATGCCTAACACACATAGACCGCGCCGAGCGGTGTTCTCACCGCCACCGGCCCTCGCACGGTCCATGCGGTGGAGCGACGCCGGCGCCACACATGCGGGGCGCCGCAATGCCGCATACCCACTTAGATTGTCCTGAGTGCAAGACATGTTGCAATTTGATGAGAACAATCTGGTCAAAACCATGTTAAATCCACCCGCACGGACAGGCGCGTAAGCCGCTTTACCGCACGAGGCACCGCTAGGAAATCCGCTTAACCATCATCGCCGCCCCCCGCGGCGGTACGCGGTGCCGTGTGTTTTCGCCTAAACATGTCTAGAACATTTTGCCATACTCAATATTTTACGATCACGAACAGACCAGCCATGTACTTTAACCTTCCAACCCTGCTAATAGCTAAAAGATTAAAACTATAAAAAATAAACCCTATTTTAATGCCCAACCTATTTTGTCATTACACCTCAGCAATATTTTCTCCCAATGACTCAATGTTATCAACCAATCGTTGGATGGCTCCAATGTTATCATTATCAACCCGATTACTGTTAGCATATATATAGCTAGGCTTTGTAATTTCAAAATCATTGAATTGTGATACACAGTTGCTACCATCAACATGGCTTTCCTCGGTAAAACTTACAAGTTCGTGGGCCAGGAGAACTTCGACACTTTCCTCAAAGTTGTCGGTAGGTGTTATTTCCAATTCTTTATTTTTATTAATTTAACAACGTAGTGGTCTTTTTTAAATGTTATTTATTTTTGCAACAAAAGTCTGTTTTATTAGTTGCTTTATTCATTGCTTAAGGATTACTTTAATTCGGTGAAGTTTGAACCAGTTTTGGAAGTGGTGCAAATTTACATTATCATTTTGGATTTTTGAAATTGTCATTAAGATATTTATTTTCAATGAAATGAAACCTTTATTCGTAATACTCAAAGCATCATTTTTTGTTTCTTTGTACTAAAAAAGTTTTAATTTTGATGTTGATTCTACTCATTAGTTTTGCTGCAATTTAATTTCGTTTTTACAAAAACTATTCGTCTAACTTTTGAAAATTCGATTGTAGCATTTAGCTTTTAAATATTGATATTCATAGAATACTATTGGAGAAATAGATGTTCCACCATCATCAATATCTGGTATAACCAATTTTAGTTATCATAATAAATATTTGTATACAATGTGAATGAAATCTGTGTATGATACAACCTCGTTATCTTAAACTAATACTCATCTGTCACATTTATATCTACAAGGTTTATGGAAGACCCTATGGCTTGATCAGTAGACAATATTGAAATTCGAGAATAAATAGATCCAATTCATCAATATTTTGGATGATTTTTTTAATACAGTACCAGCAATGACTTCTAAACGTCCAATTTAGCATTTTAATAACTTCATTGGTCTCACTTTGACGTTTAAATCCATATTTACAATTTCAATTTCTATTTTACAGGTGTTCCTGATGAGAAAATCCCAGACATTTTGAAGTTCGCCCCTGACTTCAAGCTAACCAAGGATGGTGACACCTACACCTACGCCACCGTCAGGTCCTCAGGCCCTGCTGAAGTGAAATTCCAGTCTGGAGTGGAATTCGATGATGTCATTGGCGAGGACAAGACTCCCGTAAGTTTAATAATGATACATCATAATCATCATTCTATTATTTAGTAATCATTTTTTAAACAAGTTATTATCTATTCAATAGCATCGTAATAGAGGAATACAAAAGTGAAATAGCAATAAATAACTATTAAATTATATAGTCAAAGTCAACGTTAAAGCATTTATTTCAATTAATCCTTGATAAGGCACTTGAAACGCAAATTAAATTGTTAGGGAAGCTAGCGCTCGTTCCAAAGTGTAGTTTCGAATGGAGAAGAACGAGCAAGAACCATGGTTACTCTTCTCAAAATAAAAATCATAGCTAAACGTAAACAAGTTTTTGTTCTGATTTTTATGATGATTATGAATGTGTGAAATAGTTTAGACTTAAGTCTTATTATCTTAATCCATCTTTAGTTATTATATTAAGATCAATCATTAAAATAGGGAATGATTGTTAATAAAAATGGTTAATCTGGGGAAACTATCAATTTTTATGGTATTTTTCTTCTTCAGGTCAAGAGCACATACACAGTCGATGGAAACACAGTCACACAGGTCATCAAGAGTGACAAAGGTAGTGCTTCCTTCAAGAGAGAGTTCAACGGTGACGACCTTGTCTTGGTAAGTTTTGTAAAGTAAATAGTTATTTATTAATTAAAACAAAGCTATTATTTATTAATAAAAATACTAAATAATAGTTTTTTATAATAATATAAAGCGTAAAAATGTGGTAGTATTTATAATATTTGTTGACACATAATGTCATATTTTTCGATTCAACGATAGCTTTTGACTGATGACGCTTTGAGTTTAATATGCGTCAATATCTTACTCATTTGATAACTTTTTAATGGTATTGTTGTAAGAAAATATAATATTACATGTCATAACATAACAGCGATCCGTTAATTAAGGCTTTAATCAGTCATTTTTGATAAGCTTTTTTATGGTGTGTCGCAAGGTTCTATAATAGGACCAACGTATGTACGCTATTAAATAGCAGGTTAATTTATTTTGAAATTATAGATTATGAGTCATATTTATGTCCTTTTGTATATAGTTTAATAAACATTTCTTATTTATTTTTTCAGACCATTACAGTTGAGAAATGGGACGGCCAAGCCAAGAGATTCTACAAAGCCGCATAAGTTAAAATAAAGTGATTAGTTACGTAATTTCTTAGATATAAGTAATTAATTATTTATTGTTATTTAATAAAAATATTTTACATTTTTTATACTTTGGTATTTTTATTTATCTTGTGTCAGACGAAATGCGTCAAGTTTTGATATTATATTGTAACAATTAGTACATACATTTTTTTAACATAAAAAGTTTTACAAGAAAACAAGCCACATTATATATCCATAATGGAGGTAGTTGTGGAAAAATAAGATAACATTGTATTATCATCCAAATTAAGAGTGTATGCCAAATATTAGTCGCGGAGAACCTAACAGGTTACCGGGGCTCCGGCTCGAAGTGCAGGAGTAGGAACGGGGTGGTGGTAAGAGTCTGACACTCCCTTCAGCAGTCATTCAATGATTTTCTCATGAGCAGTCATTCAATGATTTTCTCCACTTAAAAAAAGCCAAATATTAGATCGATCTGTCATCAGCAACTGTGTAAGATTCCAATTACTAACTCTAATCCAAACAAATGAGGCAAGCTAAAAACTATCGTTTAAAAATATCCCCAGAAATGTTTCATGAGTCAAAAAATATCTAGAACTATCGATGATGAACCTAAATACTACTAGGTACATGACATCATCACTTTTAAAAGGTTTATCTACAGAAAACTGATTATAAAAATGTCTAAATATAATACTAAATTGATTGATCTTTTAATTTCCCGTACAATGATAAGCTTTAGATATAAAAATGCTAGTAAGTAACAACTAATTAGTGTTGCGCCATAATAGGGCGTGCTCTTAGTGCAAACTGATTGTCTATCTACGTCTTTGGTGTAGGATATCTACCTACCTCTATATGCTGTTTGTAACACCACTCTGTTGTTCCAAAAAACAATAACTTAAGTAGCAGGTACTACTTTTAGTCATACATAATTATTATTAACATTTATAGCAAGGCCGTTGAAAAAAGGTAGACATAGTCTCTTGAGACAACGACTGTGGCACCTGGCTACTATAGACTTACACGCAGAACTTACACACATTGACACGAAGGACATCTATAATTTTTTTAAGTCTGGTAATATGATGACCCATTACACACGGACACGGCGGCTCGCGGCAAACTAAAGTAAGAGAAGCGAGGAGACACGTCACTCGCTTCGTCTGAGCACCTTTACTTATTTTTAGATAAACTTAACGCTCTTGATACTTTAGAAGAAATTGTAAACATTTTTATAAAATCGAGTGGAGTATTTTATCTACGTTTAATGTATAATACCAACTTATTTGTAACATTTAAAACTATACTATTGTTGCTTTTTTTGCAAAAATATTCATTCCCACGACAATAACACGAATTGTATATCTTCTTACATTATTTGATATATTTTTATTCAACAGATCTTAATTATATTTTAATACACAAATAGATGAACAAAATAGAGTTTTATTTGTCCAATAATGTGGTAATAACATTAATTAAAATAATCACTTTTTACAACGTGTTAAACGTTTGTTTTCATCGCTTCGAACTTCGCTCGTAACAAACGCAATAATTCATTGTAATTAGGAATAGTTACTGACATGCGCATTAGACAGTTAATTAACTCGCCTACCATGCCTTCTATTTTCCAAAAGTGGCAGCATTTGTAGAGTTGCAGGTATTGTATGAATTATTATTAGCTTTCTGCACACGGCTTTAACTGTGTAATAAAAGGAAATAGGTGCCTATTGGCTTCTTAACTCAAAATTTCTGGATAGATCTCCGTTCTTGACAGAAACACTAAACAACACATAACATAACATTACGCCTTTTTATCCCCGAAATCGTAAGCAGACGTGCATATTACGGCACTTATTGCTACTGTACAATGTAACACCTACTTTTCACTGTTTATGTTACGAGTTCCATGTAATAGAGGATAAGCCTATTGTCATGTCGTGGAGAACCTAACGGGTTACCGAGGCTCCGGCTCGAAGTGCAGGAATAGGAACGGAGTGGTTTTTAGTCAGTAAGAGTCTGACACTCCCTCCCGCCTCACCCGGATGGGAGAAGTCATTGGATGATTTTCCCCCCTCAAAAAAAACAGGCGCCTATAATGACCAAATTATCGATTAGATTAGATTAAGGAATCGAAGTCCACGAAGTCACTGACTGTCTCACTGACTCAGTGCCAATAGTGATGTCATACAAACTGACTAGGCCACGTAATGAAACATTGAACCTATAGAATTAAATACAAGACTTCCGGAGATTAAATAATTAAAGTAAAAATATCTAACAAAATACACTTATTATTGTCAGCCGCTATCCGGCTGGTTTTCTAAGGACTAGGACTTACCCCTTAACGGTAGGCGTATCATATGCCTATTTATATTTTTTATTTTACATTAACCTCTTTGGCTGGATTTTAGTGTTACATTGTTCTTGCACAATCCAAACAACAGAACTATGTAACTAGAGAATTGTATTGTGAACCTGATTGGAAAAGAGTTAACCTATGGAGTTTCTTGCTCGTTCTTCACCATAGGAATCTACATCTTGGAATGAACAAATAGCCTCACTTTTTTTTGTTGACGTTCAAAAATGCCTTTCTGGTCTAATTGAAATAAATGATTTTGCCTTGACTTTGACCACCACTAAACCATATTATAACTAAGAGATGCTGAGCGTGAAGGTTCACGCTAAACTAAACACTTATCTGATGGTTGGGTGACATTTATAAGTTCGTTGAAAATAATAATGTCGTTAAGTGAAATGTAAGTAAAATGGGCAAATCTCCTAAGTTTGTGTACCTATTAGTGTTAGGTAACAGAAAATATTGAAGTTGTAAGGGGACTTTAGGATAGGGCCTGCGGACGGCGAGCACGGGTAACTTGCTATCCGATCAGAACTAGGCCGCGTCTCATGGTGCTATCAGACCACCACAGATGAAGCCCAATAGGGCTGATGCCGATGATACGGAGCTAAGGAAGGCTCAACGGGTTGCCGAAGCCCCGGTTCTAATTGCTGGAGTAGGAACAGGGTGGTTTTTAGTCAGTAAAAGTCTGACACTCCCTCCCGCCTCACCCAGGCGGGAGCAGTCATTGGATGATTTTCTCCTTTCAAAACAGGGGCTTTCGGTTGTTGGTCGCAGTTTAACTGTTTAATACCATAAGGATGATGATAAAAACGTGTAGGCTTAATATACTCTTAATATACTTAATGTATGTAGTTACTCCTTAAAAATAAATAATAATACGTATCGAGTTTGAACTATGTTTTCGAATCTAAACGTTTTATTTTATCTAGCCTTAGATAATAAAAAGACAAACCATTATTTAATTTTTAAAGACATTCGATTCCATTAATATGAAACAGCAACCATAGATTCATAAATCATCAAGAGATGGGATGGGAAAACAAAAAAAAAACCTAAGCACAAAAGAAAAAATCAGCGCGACTGAAAGAAAAAATGGCAGATCCAGACCATAATCTACCCCTGAGCCTTTCATTCTAATTTCTTCAGCCGTTATGCCACGAAGGAGTAATAAAGAAATGAACATAGGAAACAATAAAAGAAAACAAAAATCTACGAGTAAAATGAAGTAATTCGAAACGTAGCATGATTGTAAAAAAATATTTCATAGATTACAAAACCTAATAAATCAAGCCAATTACAAAACTAAAAAAAATACCTTAAATCATAAAACGGTGGCGTTGTGTTTTGTCGTGTGAGCGAGGTTACCGGAGGCCCAATCTCCCCAATCCCTGAATCCCCAACGATTCTCAAACTCCTAATCCCCAAAAGGCCGGTAACGCACTTGTAACGCATCTGGTGTTTCAGGTGTCCATGGGCGATGCCGATTGCTTACCATCAGATGATCCGTCTGCCCGTTTACCGGATTATGTCAAAAAAAAATAAAAAAATCACGATGCATTATCAAAACCAAATATTACTTTTTTTGAAAAAAAAAGTCATTCGATCGTAGTATCATTCCGTAGCAGTTTATCATATCTTAATAGATTAGGGCTCGGATATAAGTGTGAGCTCCGTGATTTTTTTCACATTTTATCGTTAAACGGAAGAAGAGCCAATAAGCCAAAATGTCTTACATCAACAAGAACTTCAAATTCGTGAAGCAGGAGAACTTCGATGGATTTCTCCGTGCTGTCGGTATGTGTCCTTTAAAACTAGATTGAGAAATAATTCCATTTTCAAAGTTTGTTATAACAGTGTTCGTTGTTTTTGAAAAAAATTGTCGCGCCCGTTATTTTTTAAAAGTGGAACATGGTGAAAAAATGTGCACAAAGAGGATTCGCTTTTTAAATAAAATGACTCGAAAATTATAGTTAATTTAACTTAAACGTGTATACCTGTCTATCATATATTTTTCAAATGACTCCATAATTTTAAGTCGTATTGACTTTGGCGGTTTAAATTGACATTTAATATCAATATCGAATATTTAATAAGAAACTTTCGCGTCGTATTTTCTTTAAATCTTAATCGACTATGCTCTTTAAAAATAATCTATTTAGGTAGGTAAATACCCTTTTAGTTTACGTAATACATTATAGTCTAGAAAATTCCGTTAATTTTGTCTTTTAATTTTCAATTAGGTAACTACATAATCCGATAAGCCCTTATCAAAGGTACACCTCCGGATACTAACCGAGATTTATAGCTTATCACCTACATTTCAACAAATATTTTCTATACATTATTTATCATTTTTCTAATCGATTGATCTATTGTTAAGTTTAATTAATTTAATTGAAATAACATCGTAGGTACATTTGGTAGTCACCTAAACGTATTATTTTTGCAAATATTAGGCCACACATTTATTTATTTATTAATATTTCATGCACAAAGAGTACATAAGGTGGACTTAATGCCGCAGGCATTTTCTCCCAGTCTGACCTTTGGGTGGTTCAGAGAAGAGTTATTGGTAGGAACAAGAAGCAAGCAACGATTTAAACTGTCAAACACCAAGCGGTCACCGGTGACCGCGACCTATTGTTCTTTAATTGTGTCTATAAAACCGGTACTCGACGAGTTAATTGACCAAATAGAAGATACACATACATATTTCAGAGATGTTATTGGATCTGAATTTTAATTAAATACAATCAAGATTCAAGAATGATTTTCGTTCTCAGAATGTTGATTTTGATCAGTTCTTGTTCAAATTAACAATTGTGTAGTCAGCATCATCATATCAGCTCGAAGAAAGCATCACTATTAAGTGACAATAACTGTATTGAGTTTGCAATCAAAAATTAATTCCAAAATCATAGCATTTATTTCTTTTTTTTCTTTCCTTTGGCAACGGAGTCTCCAATACAGTGTTGTCGACTATACTGCCAGTGTCAAGCATTTATTTCAATTAATCCTCAATTAGGCACTTTTGAAACGTCAACAATTGAATTATCCGTCTGGTTGGCGTCTGTCAGTAAGGCTAGGTGCTCATTCCAAAATGTAGTTTTTCAAATGGAGTAGAACGACTAAGAAACTCGATCGTTACTCTTTTAAAAAAATGTTTATACTGTCTCATTGTTAAATTATCTGATCCTTTAGAATTTTCTACTTTTCCATTAGAATCGGAAAAGTTTATCAATAAAAAGGTGTTTTTATTTTAGGAAAACTTTATTAGCAATACAAGCTCTCTCGCTCTTACCTAACCTAATCTCAACAAACCATTTAAAAAAAAAATTTACAAAGTCTTTCGTAATCTAATTACGACTTTGAAAATCAAGTCGTTCTAAAACAATCCAAATCTTGTATCCAGGTTTACCCGAGGAGAAGATCGCTCAGATCGTGAAGTTCGCTCCTGACCAGAAGCTGGTACAGGATGGTGACAGCTACACCTACATCACAAACGGTCCTGATGGCGTCAAGGAGATTAAATTTAAGTCCGGCGTCGAATTCGATGATGTCATTGGTGCCGACAAAATTCCCGTAAGTAGTTATTACTTTTAACATAACATAACATCACGCCTTTTATCCTCGAAGGGGTAGGCAGAGGTGCACATTATGCCACTGTACAATGTAACACCCACTTTCACTATTTATGTTATGAGTCCCATGTAATAGGGGGTGAGCCTATTGCCGTATACCGGGCACAGTTCCAGACTCCATGCTACTACTGAGAATATTTCATTTCATTTAAAACCCAGTAATTCTTTGCCCGACCCGGGAATCGAACCCGAGACCCCTTACCCGGCACTCGCAATTGCGACCACTCGGCCAACGAGGCAGTTATTACTTTTAAAGTATTTCAGATAGATATTAAATTAAAAGGTTATATTTTTTAAACCTCGCCTCATGCTAAGTTTTTGTCCTGTGTCATGAATTGATATGCGTTAAAAATAAAAAGAAAATTGCGAGGAAAAAACAATGATAAATAAGGTATGCCTATAGTTACGGAATTTTCAAACTGGCATAAAATAACTTTATTTTACTTGCCCATGCAATTATTTAAACTTCTTGACTAGATAGAAATCTAAAGAATATATCAGTATTTTCAATTTTTTTACCCATTTTCTATTTTGATAAAATCTAACCTTAAGCTTTTACGTTATATGTAATGGACTAGTGGCGTAACTTTACCCTTAGAAGCTCGTAAAGTCGTGACAACTTCATTAAAATTTCCAATAAAAAACAAAGAAGTTCAGATGTAAACCTCTCGACCCTTTCAGTTGGGTGCCTGTAGCATTTTGCTGACTTGCCACCTTGTAGTTACACCACTGAACCACTGGTTATTTGATTTTTTTACAAAATTTAGTACAAGTACATTAATATAATTATTTATTTGTCATTATTAAATGTAAATCAAGGATTAAAACAAATTCTTGTTACAATTTCAGATCAAGACCACCTACACAGTCGACGGCAACGTAGTCACACAGAACATCACAGCTCCCCAAGGCACAGCCGTCTTCAAGAGGGAATACAATGGCGACGAACTAGTTGTGGTAAGTCTGTTACTTTAAATATCAAAACTTACCCAGATATGTAGGTAAATGTAGGCTTTTTGAATCAATCAAACTGAACTAGGTAGGTACCTCTCTCTCTCTAATATGTCATCAACAGCCTATAAATGCCCACTGCGGAGCAAAGCCTCTTCTCACACGGAGAAGGTTAGAGCATTAATCACCACGCTTGCTCAATGCGGGTTGGCGATTTCAAACTTATAATTAGAAATTATAAGCCGAGGTTTCCTCACGATGTTTTTCCTTCACCGTTTGTCAGTAGTGTCTAAATAATCTTAGAAAGTACATATACTTCGGAAAAAGTCACATTGGTACTTGCCGTTGGTAGGTTTCGAACCCGCACCCTCATGCATGAGAATCTCTCTCTCTATTATCTATTACTCTAAAATTGTTTAAAAGGATCAATCGTTTTGTTAGGTTAAACGTGAACAGACATACTGACATGCTAGATTAATATGAATTGGTGTAGGTAATAGATAGTTCAAGTGTCTGTTGAGACTATACAATATTACTAACTAAGCAATTCAAGATGGAATGATAATGCATAATGGATTTCGGAAGTGAGCAAGAATCGGCTCCCGAAGGGTAAAAAATTTGCATTCAAATGGTACTCAAAATAATTTTTAAAATCCGTCCACATACGAATCTTTTCTATTTAATTTTAATTTAATTAGTAGATATGTTAGGTGTATAAGGAAGATGAAGCCTTAAGTACCTACATTAACATCTATTGTACCTACCTGGGTATATGGCAGCCGAGCTAAACGAAATATATTTTGTTTCAGGTCATCACCGGTGACAAATTCGACGGTGTCGCTAAGAGGTACTACAAGGCTGAATAAACTCATAGCTAGTAATTATGTTAATTTATTTTTATAAATAATAAATATTATTATTAATTAAAACTATTTTTTTCTTTAGTTTCTCTGTCTAGTCCTTAAACATCGTCTACCTAAATTAATTGTAATGTTTTCGGCTTACTCGACTCGTTTAGTTACACGCCACGCGGCGACTGTGGCGCTGCTACTGAATGCTGCTCATGAATATGAGCCTCTAGCATGGCTTGAAACTAGTCGAGTTTTTCATCAAACAGTTACGTAACTAAGCCGAAAACATAATAATTAATTTAGTATGTCATACGAAATTTATACATAATATAATCATCTACCTAAGTTTCTATTTTCTATAGACTTTTCCTCTGAATGGTTTGGGATTATCATTGATTAATAAGGTTTCTGGTACACACAAAGACAGCTATTTGCCTGTCACAACCAATTACTACTAATTGACTGACTGAATTAATGCTGTGTTTTTAAAATAACTATCGTAAATTAGAGCTTTACTTAATATATTCACAGGAGTAACCTGCGATTTTTAGTTATTTGAATTTTTAATTCAAATGGTTGAAGTTTCAATCCTTTCTCACGAGACCCTGTCCTTATTTAAAATTAGTTGAGCATATTCTCGAAATAAGTTTTTTATTTAGTTAAGCCTTTAACTGCCGATAAAAACTACTAAAGGCTAATCCTCCGCTAGCGTCGGACATCACTGTCCGACACGGCATACAATGTGTTAAGCGATATATATTGGTGAAATAATAATAGGTACAAAGCAAAAATATTTACAACTTAAAATATAAACATACCTATATGATTAAACTAAATTTAAACTAATTATTATTTTATTAATATCGAGAAATTCCGAACTCGTAAGGCCCATACGTGAAAACTAATCACAGGTTTTTTTTTCACAACTGCACTTTATCTTTATTGACAAATTTTTGACAAAAAACCAATAAACTTATTGTTATTTTCGACGCTCAACCACTATCATAAATTCGCGCCATTTTGCTACCCACAACCATAAAAAACATAAACCATACGGTTATTCCCGCTCGTCACCCCAAGCTTTGTCCCCTCCGGTGACAAGTGGGAATTATATTGAAAAAAAATCCCATATGTCACCCCCAGGTGACGAATGGGATTCCACTTAGAAATCATCCCAGTCGTCACCGCTAATAAAAGCTTGCTAAAACCATAGTTTTACATTGCGAATGGAAATTTGTTTTTGAACTAAATAATACAATAAAATTAGACAGCCAAAACTTTTTATTTGCTTTTATTTTCAAAATCAGGTTCTAAACGTTTTACATTCAACACAAAAGTATTAACAACAGTCTTTGCATATTATCACAAATCAACACTATTTACATAATTGACTAGGCTACATTCATTGGTTCAGTTTGAAAGTAATCACCATAGCGTTACAAAATATAAAAAAAATAATATTAAAAAAATCTTAAAATGTATCTATTATTAGAAAACTTAAAAACTGTCATAGAGTTCACCTTGCTCTTTGATATTAGTAACTTATTTGTTTTATACCACATTGGATTTTAGAAACTCAGGAGACAGGAGAAATAAAGAGTACCACCATTACAATTCACCTTATATTGTTAACATCGAAATCCAATTACAAATTCAGAACTAGCTAAACCATAACTATTAATTGGAAAGAAAAACAACAACAATAACACATGAATAGGCAAATTGACTTTCAAATAGAATAAAATTCCCTCAACACCAAATACGCCGTCTCAATAATTTCCGAGTTCCCGCCATCTTGACTTTTTCATTGTTCGAACCACAGATTATATTTTCCCGCTACGCGATGACATTTCGTTCCTTTTTGTCTATGCTTCTAACACGGCCTCTCCTGACTGGAGCACGTCCTCGTGCTCCTGTGTCGCACTGTCGCATATTTACAGCACACGCTCCGTAGCAGGGACATCACCGCGGCTTCTGGCAGCTTGTTCAGCTGTGAACTCTATACTGTTTGCATCTGAGAACATAAGAATTGGATCGGGACGACGGTGGTTACCGGCGGTCACATCGATCCATATTAAATCGTTAGCGCAGGTCACAAAAAAATAGCCAGAGAGGAGGCACAACATTAGCTATCTCGGTTAATGTGGACCACATGATAGGCATCATATTACCGTATCACATGATCCATGGAAACAACATAATCATCACTTGAGAACATAAGGATTGGGTCGGGACATCGGTTTTTTCCGAAGACACATCGACCCATATTAAATCGTTAATCTTATCAATTACCAAAAACGTGACGTGTGAGTTCAATACCTTCTGCACCTGAAATTATAAAAATTGTATCGGGATGTCGTTGGTTACCGACACAAACAACTACATGTACACATTGATCCATAATAATTCAAAATACAGGCAGAGAGGAAGCACTACGTTAGCTATCTCTACTATAACAACTACATGACAGGCACGACGTTAGCATATCATAAGTCTAAAGTAGGTTGAGTAAGAGTAAATAGGTTGTTTTTGTTAGGTAGGTAAGAGTAAATAGGTTGTTTTTGAATTGGTTGTCGGTTTTTATTGTTTGGTTGATTTTTTATTATTTTATTACTTAAATATTTAACTGTATTTGATCTCATTATTGTTCCTAATTTTAGTTATAATGTAATATTTTAATTGTGTATTTAGTGACATGTAGACGATTTGGTAGATATAATACTGTTAGTCTATATTGTTGTAATTATAAATAAATAAAGTCACCAACACAGTAAAGTAATCAATAGTGAACTAGAGGCACGACGTTAGCGTAGCTCACAATCATAAAACATACTCAGAGAGGAAGCACTACGTTAGCTATCTCTGCTATAACGACTACATGACGTAGGCACGACGTTAGCGTATCATGAGTCACGAACACAGGAAAAAAACACAATCAATAGTGAACCATAGGCACGACGTTAGCATAGTTCACGATCATAAAACATACTCAGAGAGGAAGCACTACTTTAGCTATCTCTGCTATAACGACTACATGGCATAGGCACGACGTTAGCGTATCATGAGTCACGAACATAGGAAAAAACACAATCAATAGTGAACCATAGGCACGACGTTAGCATAGTTCACGATCATAAAACATACTCAGAGAGGAAGCACTACGTTAGCTATCTCTGCTATAACGACTACATGACATAGGCACGACGTTAGCGTATCATGAGTCACGAACACAGGAAAAACACAATCAATAGTGAACCATAGGCACGACGTTCGCATAGCTTGCAATCATAAAACATACTCAGAGAGGAAGCACGACGTTAGCTATCTCTGCTATAACAACTACATGACATAGGCACGGCGTTGGCATATCATGAGTCTCTAACACATGTGTAATAATTAATACCTACGTTAGCATATTATTCACACGCACATTACACACACAATACACATCAGATATCACACAATGTTAGCGTACCATATTGTGTGGGAAGGACACATTTCTACAGTCCGAAGCTATCCACATAGCACTAGAAACTCCGCCACAGTCTGTGTCGCGTTTCCACACGAGTATACCATCTATTAGCAGTCGTAACACTTAGCGCTGTAGCCTTCACCACACTACACACCACACCACACTCGATCTTGTCAGACGTTCTGTATCCGCTCGGACACACCTGACTATGACTTTTAGTCCATCCTAAATATTCTTTTGATGGAATCCTGTAATCATACACATTGATAAGGCACATACATTATCACCGAATCAGCATGATTATTGATCATCGGTAAAACTTACTTCATTTTTTTTTTATCACGCAATCAACATGGTTCACATGTGAAACAAGTGAATTTATTTCTGCAAATAGACTACAAGGCAGCACTTTTACACGTCAATTTTATCAAGCGAACGATGAGGCCGACATTTCCTAACTGAATACTCTGAGAAGAAATGCAGAAACAAACTCAGAGGTCTGTCTCTTTTAAAGTCCAGACAAATATGTATAAAAGATTATGTGTGAGAACCGTGCAAGTTCTCTCTGTAGTGGCCTTTTGAGGAAAGAACCACAACAGTTTGAGCGGACCCGTTCTGAAAGCAGTACGCATGTGTCGGTTTACAGTCAGCTCAATTAACAGATGAGGCTGAGTGATTCGACGAACAATACCAACCTAAAGAACATTTGCGTGGGTCGCACAAATACTCAAACTGTCAGAGTATGAGTAAGAAATAAGAAAAGAAAAGTCTCGCACGGTCCTAGCACTAACAATTGTAAAAAATAGAGGTAAATGTCAAGTTTAAAAAAATATCACATTATGCTAATAATGTCAAATTGCATATAAAAAGAAATGTAACTATATGTGTCAATATGTAAAACGATGTCGTCAATATGTAAAACGATGCCTACAAGTAAACATTACTTATCGCCAGTCAGCTAACACAAGTAACACTAGCGGTTCAATACGTGGACATCGTTGTTGCTGACAATAAGAAGAGTTTTCATAAAATCCAGCATGAAACCTCTCAAGTAATATATCAAGGTGACAAACTCGAAATAGTACACTGAAAGCTGGGTTGTGTACATATTTGAAATTTTAAGCAAAAAACGATAACAAACTAGGCATCATCTCTCTCTCAGCATACAATGATGTATCCTGACGCTCTACGGAGTCTAGTCACGTTTCTAGGAGGAACAACCGATCCATACAGCAGCTTGTTCACCGGTAGTAGAATGCACTCTCGGCCTCTCAAGAGGTTACTCATGCGGTAGACAAACCAAATTAAGTCTGTATTTACAAATTTGCTAAACAAGTGCAGAACGGACATACATATTATGGATTACAGTAACTGTGAGGTGCATACTGGCAACCTACCTTCACAGCAGTACAACAACCACATCAACACTCTATCAAGGGTAACGCTGCTAAGGAGAAACATACACATACTGCTGTCTTCCATTATAACAACAGTACTTCCCTGTACAACTACCTAAGATATGATTCAAGCAGTAACATGTAGC